TTTGTTCACTGAAGTATTTCTGGTACCTAGAAAAATGGCTGCCACATTTCCAATGACCAATAAGTAATCTGTTGAATTAATTAATAAAGGTGTAATGTTGGTGTTTATTCCTTAAAATCCAGGAACGTCCAGCCCTATGACACAAACGGCAGTTCCCAGAGGTCATGTGAGGCTTTCCCTTTGCTCCCCTGTCCTCTGTCCACACCCTTCACCTTCAGTGGGCCGCACGTACCTAAAAAGTTGGAGAGCAGAGGCAGAAACTCAGAAATCGGACTGAGGCTTTGAAAGGGAAACTTTATGTTCAAATGATAGATTCCTTTAATTCACTGGGAACATTAACAGCTAAGCTGACCTGATATGATTGGTGATGGAAAGTTGCCGAATGCTCTTTTATTGACAAATCATTACCAAAAAAGTCAACTACTTTGCATTCTTTTCTTCCAGAGATGGAAGGTATGGGGGGGATGGGGAGTCTGTTTGCAGAACTAGTTTGAAAGGGCAGTTTGGGGAGAAGAAAAGATTCCGGGCACAGCTGAGGCAAAAGCACATTTACTGGTTATTTGGAATACACTCGTGAGCCGGTTTCGACCGGGTATTGGGGCTCCATCGCACTGAGAAACCAGAAGGTACATGTAGAAAGGGCTTGAATCATGGAAGGGGGTACTCTGTGGGGTAAACTGTGACATTTCTCTCGGTGCATCTATAGCACAGAAAGCTACGCGGCCACAGATAGTGGTCCGCTGTGTGGGAAGCCCATTCACCCATCCTCTTTCCCGGGCTGTCTCCATGGGTTTGCTATTGTCAATATTCTTGCACATACCTCTTGGTGCAAGGGAAAGCTTTTGTTTGGGAAGACCTCTGTTAGGCGGGTTATGAAATAATACAAAATATATATGCTGGGGGGTGCCTGGGTTACGTGGCTAACTCTTGATTTCAGCTCATGGTCTCACAGTTGGTAAAATCAAGCCCACTGTTAGGTTCTGTGCTGACAGCATGGGACCTGCTCGGGATTCTCTCTCTTTTCCCTTCCCTCTCTGCCCCTCTCCCACTTGGGCGTACATGCTCTCTCTCTCTCTCTCAAAATAAATAAACATTAAAAAAAGAAGAACCTATGCTTAAAAAAAAGAATATTGAAAATATATATGTTTGTCTCTGCCCCCCAGTTCCTGGCACAGAGCTCCTAAAACCCTTGTTATTTATTTTTTGTCTTTAATTTTTAAAATGTTTCCATTTATTTTTGAGAGAGAGAGCGTGCACATGAGAAGGGGGGAGGGGCAGAGAGAGGGGGACAGAGGGTCTGAAGCAGGGTCTACACTGACAGCAGAGAGGCCAATGAGGGGTTCGAACTCATGAACCATGAGATTGTGACCTGAGCCCAAGTTGGATGCTTACCCGACCGAGTCACCCAGGTGCCCCATCCTTGTAATTTCTTAAGTGATGACAGCACTAGAAGCACCTTTTGTTCTAATATTTGGTCTTTGACCCTGGTTCCTGATACAGAACCCCTAAATCCTGTGGAATTTCCTTGGTGATAGGAGTGTCTTTCATTTCAGTGATGCAACTCCTGAGTAGCTTCAGGATGGGGCGTGGTCACCAAAAAGACCAAGCCATGCGTAGAAGCTTGGAACTTTCTACCCCATCCTCCAGACGTGGAGAGGGGCTAGAGATTGAGTTAATGATCAATCGTGCCACACAAAGTTTGGGGAACTTGGTGAACAGCCACGTGCCAGGAAGCTGGTGTACCCCCAAGTCCATGGGGACAGGACCTCCTGTGCTGGGGACCCTTCTAGATCTCGCCACAGCCTGGCAGCTTACAGATGCACCGGTACTCACAGAGACTCAAGAGACAGGCATGTCCTAGGGATGCCCAAACAACATACAGGACTGCACGGTCCCCCAGGACAAAGTGTGATGAGGGGGATGGGTGTGAAGAGAGTCTGGCTTCGAGAAAACAACCTATCCCATCTCTGCAGATGTGACGATGCACTGGTGGAAGAACAGAAAGTTGGGTGCACACCTTGGTACAGCCCGGAGTCCCACACAGACGTGAAGACTCACAGGTGGTCAGGGAGAAACCAGCTGGGGCCTAGAAGTCTTTACACAGAAATGCTTGCCCCCAGGGCCGAGAAGCCTCACTACAGCTGGGACAGGAAGGTGGGAGAGTTGCGGGCTTTACAGGAGGGGTGGGAACTTTCTAGCGGGTCAGCAGTCATCGTTTGGATGATTTGCAATTTACTAACAATGGTGAGGAGGAGCTATCAGGGCTAAGGTCTCTGGCAAGAGCTACGGGCAGGGAGGTACCAAGGCTTCAGCGGCGGCTCTCAGTCCTTCAAGGCCTCACAACCTCCACAATATTGACAATGATAACCGGGTGACAGCTCATATGGGGGCACAGAGTGGAAGTGTCACCCAGAAGCCATATTTAGGCTTTCTCCCTCCGAGGGGAGAAATCGTTACTGATGATGGTGAGGGGCCAAGGTGGCCCGTGGGGACACCGATGACCTAGAAAGCCTCGGGTGGAAAGCGTCTCAAGCAGGCTCTGCTCCGCCAGCACAGAGCCCGACTCAGGGCTCGAACTCGCAACACGTGACATCACGACCTGAGCTGAAATCAAGGGTGTAATGCTTAACCGACGGAGCTGCCCAGGAACCCTCTCTGTGCTTTTAAATTGTGGGTCCAGCTTTGTTTCTACCATTGCTGTGTCCAAGGACCCCAGTCTGGCAACATCATAATGTGCTCTCTGAATCAAATGAACTTTCATAATTTCCATACCACATCTGCCGATTTCTCTCGTTATTTCAATTCATTCTATGATTTCATTTCCAACTTGGTCCTCCAATTTCCCTTTCCCCTTCTTTTATTTTGCTTCACTCTTCTAGTCTATTACATATTTCATCCACTCATGATTTCTTCAATGTCTCATTTCAATCTTAAGTGGGTTTATAAAATGTTAGACAAATTCATTCGTGTATAGCTTTGAGGTTTTGATCTGTTACATAACAAAATTCAACTGAGTAAGTTTTAAAGATTTTACTGGCTTTATTCAATGATTCATGAGTCAGGCAGGATCCCATCCAGTAAACAGAAAGGAGCTCCAAGGAGCTGTACAAACTGGAAGACTTTTATAGGCAGAAGGGATAGGACAAGGAAGTTACTACCAAAAATAGATTGTTTCAGGCAAGCTTACCTTCCTTTGGGGGACAGTAGAGCTCTATCAGGCAGATTACCTCACTAGTGCCGACCAGGTAATTCCAGATTGACCAGCTTAAGATTCCACACCTGGGAGAGGTTGAAACCAAAATTGAGTTAGGTATTAAGTGTTAGTTTGATGACACGGGCTTAGGACAAGTGACTCTATTTGGGGCTCCTTGTCTCTTTTCTTTAAAAAAAATTTTTTTTTAACATTTATTTATTTTTGAG